CCCCAAAACCCCAAAACCCCAAAACCCCAAAACCCCATTGTATAATTTAAATATTGAAACTACCACAAAAATGGGAAATAAGTTGAACCTGTGTAATGGGAACAACCCTGAACAACATGAACAGAGATTAATACATGCGAAGAATAGTCCTGGGTCTCCTCCAAGATGGTCAGAGAAGAGATCTCGCTTTGGATCTGACGAAGGCATGAATGTAAGCAAGTATATTTATCTATAGTTCGATTCCAGCCCGGGAGAATATGATGAGTTCCAAATTTCGCAGAAGAATAAAATAGTTTCTGAGCACTGAACTCCAACTCCAAGGTATGATAAAGATTTAATACTAACTTTGTAGCTCGAAGACAGAGCATAGGAGTACTAGAGTGCTAGGAGAGAATATTAACTATGACAACCAAGTTTTGCCACCAAAATATCCAGTATCTGAAGAAAATCAGTTCTTCAACTCTCGAAGGATTTCAAATTTGAACTTAATCGTATGAGATATTTATCAGTTTGTATAGATACTTTCTGATGGACCAATGAAGGGCTCTTGCTTACAGATCACTCCAAATGGACTGAAAGGAACAGACAGAGACCAACAGGATGGCTACACATATTTTGGTTCCAAGACAGGGGCTTCATCAGCTAGCGAGAACTACGGGGTAAGTGTTAACACACTTAATTCCAGTATTCAAACCGAGAAGAGACTGATTTTGTCATTCCTAAACAAGAATCAGGAAATGCTCATGGGAGACACTTCTACATCAGATATGACTATGATGAGCAAAACTACAAGATCAAAGATTTGGGAGTTGGCTCTGGAGTGTTCATGAAGCTAGATTACCCAACAGTAAAGCATTAGGAATAAAAATATAGCCTCTCAGAGACAACCATTTGATAAATATCGGTGAATCTTATTTGATTATTAACCTCATCTCGACCAGTCAGAGAATAAAAGCTCGTAATAGTACTAAGTAATAAGTATAGTTGAATCTGATACTGAATCTGATGATGATGACAGCTTTAAGGTTGACCGTGGAGATGACATCCCGAAGATAAGAATCAAGGTCTTTGGCGGTCCAAACTCTGGACAAGTCTTCTATAGTAATGGTATGGATACAGATGAAATCAAAATCGGAAGATCAAATTACTGAAACATCTCAATAAATGATGAAGTGCTGTCTAAATATCAAAGCAAAATTTATTATGACTTTGATCTTGGCCATTGGATGATAAAGGATGGAGGAGATAAGAAGTGCAGTCTTAATGGAACATGGCTGTACCTTAATGAGGAATATACTCTTTATGAAGGAATGAAATTCAAGGCTCATTCATTGATATTTCTGGTCAAATAATTCTCTTCAATCTCTAAACTAGTGTGTGGGGTTTTGGGGTTTTGGGGTTTTGGGGTTTTGGGGTTTTGGGG